TGAGTCTGATCTTAATTCTCATTCCCAGAAAGATCTCAGCTCTGGGTTCACCCACCCCGTTTACTGTCTTTGTATTTCCTAGACAAAGCTGGAAGGAACACATTTCCCTGACTGGTTACATCAAAGACAATTCTTTGCTTGGGGGAAGAGGAGGACAGGGGAGTCACTGAATCCCTAGGCTGTGGGAAGGTGAGGCCCAGGCCACAGGAAAGCTGGAGTCATGACTCCCATGGGAGGCTGGGGAGTGGTGGGGTTGAGAAATCTGCACTGCTCGAAAATCTGTTTTGTCAGACCTGAATGCTGGGTCTATTCTTGTTCCTTTAGTTTTTCTTCCCTTGTAGGGTGGTTTGAGACTTCATAATGCTGGTAAAGAGCTAGCAGTATGGCTGGTGCAGGGGACATCTCATGGAAGCTCAGCCCCAATTATACCCGTTCAGAGCACCTGTACTTCTTTGCAACCCTTACTCAACTGGGCATATGCATCTTGTGCCTATAGATTGTAATATATGTGACAACAGAGTCCCCTTTGTCTTATGCAGGCTGTGATCTGTGACAGACACAGTGCCTGGTACTTAGTAGATGTTCACTAAATACTTGGTGAACATTGTCATGATTAAATGCTTAGACATCTGCTTTTCCTTGCCCTATTCCAATTGACAAGTTCTTTCTTTTAATGGACCGGGCTTTTCCTGCCTGCAATGAGGTGATAGGAATTTAAATGAATTGGGGTTGAAATTTGTTGCCAAGACCAGAAGGGCCAAGCTAAAAGAGCTTCCCTTATACTCTTAGAGACACGGAGGGCTACTGTGAGACATATACTAAGCATCAGATTCCTAGGAGAAGTCAGAGGAAGGCACAGAGATGCATTGGTTTGAAGAAAGATTTGGAGAGCATCCAAGTATTAGGACCGGCCTTTCCAGATGACTCAGGAGCCACCTGGCTCTGTTGGCCAGACAGAAGTGATGCCTGACACAAGAAAGAGACAGTGAGTCATTTTACTGAGGGTTAAAATTTGTACCTAAGATTTAAATGTTAGAACAATTTAAAGAGCGACCAAATGAAAGCAAAGACCAATGACGCCCCTCAGTCTGGGCTCTGGGACTAACAAGGATGTTTGAGCCAAGAGGTTCACATCCCTTTGTGGGAAAAATGATCCTCCCTCTTCTTCTCTACAGAAGTTAGAAGCAGGGATTTAAGCCAATAATAACATAAAGTAAGCATAGAGCCTGCAATCTGGACCATTAAACTCAAACAAGCATTTCAATGAATCAAGAAACTGTAGTTACTATAACAAAAGACTTGAAGATGGGAATTTTCTAGAGTAATTTATTTAGTTCTGTTTTGGAGCCTGAAATTCTAAGAACAGATAAAGCTATTTGTTGGAGCTCTGGTGAGGGCCCTCCTGCTCTGTCCCACTATAGCAGATGACACCATGGCGAGAGTGAGAGGAGGAGAGCACAGGATGAGACAGGAGGTAAAAGGAAATCAGAGGCTAGGCTTCCTCTTCTTATAACAACTTGCTCTCATGAGAACTAACTAGGTTCCAGTACTAAACCTTTGGGGAACATGCTTAAATCATATCCAAACCATAGCACCATGCAAGTTCAACTACATATTTGATGGACAAGATGGTTCTCTAAAAGATAAAGACATACTATCCCCATCTATAAAGGACTTAAACTGGAAGGGACTGGATTGATCTGTGATGTTTTCGGAAAAGATTTCACAGTAAGGTTGTTCAATCAGAACACAGCTGGACCACCAAGCAATCTCCGAAGCAAGCCACTGTTCAATTTCCCTGGATTCCCTGCAATGAGTCCATTCTGCTGGCGAAGATACTGCTCCACCTTTATAAGTATGAAACATATTAGGAGGCTGGTCCCAGGACGCTTTGGGGGTCTAGTTCAGGATGGGGTACAGAAGTTCCTACACCTGACCAAAACATTTCTTGCATCCCACTTTCATTTTCTTCATTTGTTTTTCATTATTTTTTTAATTGACAAGTTTAAGAGAAGCA